AATAAATATGTATACACACTCCTTATTTTCCTTTAAATATTCCTTATTGGACGAGGGAATGCATACACAAACACACACACACACATACATACATAAATGCAACAGAGACAGTCACACACTTACACATACATAACATTCCATAGACACAAGAAGTAAGTTCTTTCTCAGTTTGCTTAGTTTTCACATTCCTAATAGTTCACATAAAGTTGAGGGCAGAAAGTGTCATCATTTCCCCTAGAAGGTCTGTCTTTGAAATTGGCCCGAGGACAACCATATGTTGTCTTAAATTCAGGCCTGGTTGGCTTGAGAGCTATTCTCCCTAAGACCTCACTTCTTATATTGTTGGGTACAGCCCCACAAGGGGCCAAGAACTTTTATGATTAACTATCAGATAATGCACACTTTCTAAGCTTATCATCTATACCTAGGTAAGTAGAGTTGTGAAAAAATTTCTAGGTGATGAGTAGAAATTGTTTGAACCCTGACAAGCAAACCTCTCCAGAGAGAAGCAAGTTCATGTGCTTCCTCAGACCTGCCTTCCCTGTGGGAGACTTGACTGAGGAAACCAATCTGGACTGCAGACAGGGTGCCTAGGAAAGGGTGGTCTCAAGAACTAGTGAACTGCAGGTTGTACCACAGCCATTGCTTGAGGAAACCTTTGTGACAGGGGTAGGAGGTGTGATAGAGCTGGGGCTGGCCCTCTGCTATGGTGCTAACATATTAGCCCTGGAATGTTCCAAATCTGCATGTTGACTTTCTTAAGCAAATTGCTTCTCCTGAACAAATCCCCTAATGATTTTTTTAAAACAGGAATAATAGCCTAATATAAAACAGGCTGTATGTTGTAGTCTTTTTATCAGCTTTGATCTGCAAATATGAATAAGAAGGCTTCTAAGGACTTCTAAGGATTTTTAAACAGTAGGGCACACAGTCCTCAAAAGATCAAAGGAAAGTGGAAAAAATATTACTCAGGATAATGCAATGATTTTCCTGTGAAGAATTCCCAAGGAGAGTCTATGTTTCAAATTATGTTAAAATACAGGTAATGGTTACCACAGTTAAAAATAACGTTTCACAATAGGAGACGTGAAAAATTAATTTTTATCAGAATTGGATATCTATGATTGAGAAAATAATCCTCAATAAAGTGAATGTTTACCTAAGTAGTTAAATTTCTACAAATTATTAGTCATACTTTAATTTAATTTGGGGATCATATTATAGAAAAATAGTAAAATTAGATTGCCTATTATTAACTTACCACAAAGGAAAAAATTGTATAATTCTCAATAAATTTGAAAGAATCCCATCATTTGGATTAAATATATGCATTATATTTGCCAATGATACCTCAATAAAAAGACGTGAATTTTGGAAAAGGAATCATAAAGGCAGCAGTTTCTGCTTAGGCTATGCCTGACCCTTAGGAAATAGAACCAGAACGCAGGAAAGTACTGAGAGCATTCTTTAAAGATTCTTTTCTAGACTTTCATGCCTTTTAAAGCAACAGAGCACTTTACTTAGGGTAGGCAGAGAAACCAATTGTTCTATTTACTTACTAATAACAATGAAAGTCTGTAAGATCCTCAGTGGGGTTTACTGGTCTGTTAAATACCAACAATATTCCCTCCTAGTCGGCCAATATCTCTTCAAAAAATCTGTACAATGGAGAATCTATTCCTTGATATTCCCCACACCCCACTCAGTTAACTCACAATTGAGAATCTTGACCAAGATATAAGGGAAATAAAAGAAAAAAAAGGAATGTAAGGAAGATCTTAATATACCATTCAAACATTTTTCAAAAATCAATTTATAATCTGAATGCCCCTGAGACACTTCAACCTACATTTTCCATTTTCAAATTTTATGCCTCCTTTAACTAATATGAAAGTAAAGTAATTTAAGTTAATCTGATTTTACCAAGGCACTCAATACACCTCAAAGTGTTAACTATTAAGGAGGAATAAGGGAAGTAGAAGTTGATGACGGATTTTGCAACTCTAAAAGATTTTTAAAAGCCTAATATGGGGTATTTATTGTTCAAAGGATGATGTTGTTCTTCAATTCTTTAAAGAGCCCTCACGTATTTTCTGAGCAGTTTTGAGTTTTCAGTAAGATAGAGAGGAGGATACGGAACTGCCCCATATATCCACTCTCCAAAGCTCTTCCCCATTCAGCTTCTTCTACCAGCCTGGTATACTTATCATATCAATAACCCTACATTGATTACTCTAGTCACTCAACGTCCATAGTTTACCTTAGAGTTTACCCTTGATAGCAAAACCTCAGCATAAAGCAATAATTAAAACTTGCCGTTCTTGTTCTGCTGATGTATTGCTAAGCTTTTCTTTTAAATAATATTAATTCTACTGTGGGTACGGTGTTACTCGTGTTACTCCTGACTCTGTGCTCAGGGTTCACTCCTGGCAAGTCTTAGGAATATAGGTACATATTTTGCCAGGGATTGAACCTGGGGCAGTCCCCTGCAAAGTAGATTTTTATCCTTTGTGCTGTATTTCTGACCCTTATTCATGTGTGTGTATGTGTGTGTATGTGTGTGTGTGTGTGTGTATGAGAGAAAAGTTCTACATAGAACTCCAATTAAGTTGTTTCAAAAAGTTCTTATTTCCTGTAGCTTTGCTTTTCTGTAAACTAAGTATGCAAATCCATTCTTTAATATATCAGTGCTGATGTAGAATATTTCAAAGCAGACCGTGCATAAGATATTCAAGCAACGCCTTATAACCATTTGTTCATTTGTCAAAAATTGTTCTAAAAATAACAACATTCCAAAAGATACAGGCAAAAAGGATAATCATTCCTCCAAAGGGAAAGAAAACAGGTAAATTAGCAATGGAGTGAATGGTCTAAATAAGGATTTTATATTATGCATTCTCAGTGAAGAAGTTGAGATATCAGCATACTTTTCATGATGTCAATAAGCAACAGGTTGCTAAGGGAGGGGACAGATTAGAAGTCATAGTCTTCACGCCCTTCACAAGTCATCTTTACAAAATCTAACTGTCTTTCTAAAACAGCAACAACTAAAGTAAATTTTTCAAAGTACTCTATTTTCATGGGTCACAGGCACTTCAAAAATAGGTACTTGCTAAGAGCATCTAAGTCCTAACACAATTTAACATGCAATTGTGACGGGGTATACCGGCTCTAGACAGATCACATAAGAATGACTGGAAACAATAAAGTAATTTGAGTGAACTCAGAATATGAAGATATTCAAGATTTTAAATACAAGTCCGGAGTCTAAAATTCACCCTTGAAACTTTAAAAACAACCACTCAGGAAGGAAAAGCCATGATGTAATAGAATTGCTCAAATACTGACAGAATGTTCGGTTTTGCTTTTTGATTTTTCCAAAGGCGGGCATGTTTAAAAAATAAAACACTTCTCCAGGGTTGGACACATTTTATTTGCTTGCTTGCCTTTTTGATCGTACCCAAGATCAGCATAATCTTAACGATAAATGCTTAAGGGAGCTGCTTGGAGAGCAAAGCGCTTTCATCTGGCAATAAGATTGTGTTTCAAATTTGTTCATAACGCTTTAAGACAAAGCCCTCCAGAACGTACTACCACCATGATTTCCCATCCCATAAACCCATGCCTAGGGTCAGCAGACCACTTCCAATTTCAAAGTTAAAATGAGCATTTCTTCAGGAATCCCTCTGCCAGAATCAAGGTTCTATTTGGCTTGTCAGTTACTTCACATTAGGACAGCAGTGTGGTGTGTGTGTGTGTGTGTGTGTGTGTGTGTGTGTCTGTGTGGTGGGAGGGAGGGAGGGAATGGGGGGGAGCCATAAAGACTCCAGAGGAAAACTAGTCCAGGCTTCCTACTATTTCCCCCAATCTCAACACAAAGTGAGTTGATGAAAGAAGTTAACTCATCTCCACGGAGAGCTGGACAGATAGCCTGAGAAATTCTTTCAAATGTCACCATGAGTAAGGGCTGAAGCTTAGTCCCTGAATCACTCAGGCTCCCCCGCAGGCCTTTGCGGTTTGAAAGGGTGGGTTGGGGGGAGATGAGCAAAGGTCTGGGCGACCTCCCCTCCGGGGAGCAAAGAAGTTGAACACGCAAGGACCAGCGCTCTGCTCCTAATGAGGTTGCATCCAGAGCAGATACCGGGAGATTTTTTTCCCTGGTGCAGGGACTCAAAAAAGCAAACAAGCATCAGAATCCTGTCCACCATGCTGGGGTCCGATGTCCGCAGCCACTTTTTAGAAAAGGGCCCCACCACCTACACCCACCAGCCATATGGGGGGTGGGTGGGCTACAATTTAACCCTTTCATCGCTCCCCTTGCAGAGGTTCCTGGCATCCCGCACCTCTCACCTGGCCGATACTACAACAGTAATTCCTTCTGGGGTGGACTCTGCAGATCGAACTGGCATACTCGGTCTGGGTTCGAGTGGACGGTGCGAACACACATCCGACCGGCCCTTTTGCGTAACCCTAACCCGGGGCAGCGCAACTTCGGGCCGACTGGTACAGCCAAACAGCCGCCCATCCTTGGAGAGCGGGCATTTATGAATCATGCATCTTCCTGCCTCCGCCCTCAAATTCCTTAATGGACCATTAGTAAGGGGATCGATGCCGGCTGCTTGAGTGGCGATACCTCGCCGCCGAGGCGCATCTGCCGCGTTCGCTAGTGCCAGGAACGCCAGGGAAAAGTTGCGGGGACAGAGCCCAGCACTTTGCAAACCCCGGGAGAAGGCGGGCAAGAGAGGGAGGGAGCGGGTGCGAGGGTGCGGGGGACCTGCGGGGGGAAGGCAGGGGGACCGAACTCCGCCGCCTCCGGCCGGCCAGAGAGCCCTGCTTCCCCCTGGCACCATCGCCAGGGACGCCGAGCCAGAAGTGCCAACTTGTCCAGCGGCCGAGCGCCCCCCGCGTCCCTGGGCAGAGCCGAGCCCCACCGCCCGGCCGCCCCGCACCTGCGCCCCTGGGCCCGCGGAACCGGGGGGGGGGGGGCGCGCAGCACTTACGTCTCGGAATTTGTTCCACTGTCCCACCTCCTTGTCGTACTGCGAGATGGTGCTGAGCCATTGTTTGTCGTCCAGAAAACGCCCGGCGTCCGCTCGCCCCCCGGCCGCTGCCACCGCCGCGGCCGCCGCCGGAGCCTGGCTGCACCAGGCGGCCGCGCACACGCACAGCACGGCGGACACCTTGAGCATCTGGGGAAGGAGACACGAGCGGGGCAGGGGCGGGGGACGGAGGTCAGCGTGCAAAGAGGGGTCCGGAGAGCCCGGGGACCCTCCCCGCCGCCGCCGCCGCGAGCCCCGCATCGCCAAGCACCGGGGAGCGAGAGGAAGGCGGAGGAGGAGGAGGAGGAGCGGGAGGAGGGTGGCGGGGAGGAATAAAGGAGGAGGAGCAGGAGCGGGAGGCGATCGAGGGTCCTCCAGCCCCGCGGGCTTGACTGACCCCTCCGAGCCCACCCGCAAACCCGGGCAGGAGAGGGGCGCGCGGAAGGAAGGCGCCCCGCGCATCACCTTGGGAGCCCGCCCGGCTGCCCGCGCCGCCAACTCGCCGCTCCCGGGAGCCGCCGCACGCGCCGCCGTCTCGGGCGGGCCACTTCGCGCCCCCCGCCCCCGCCCGCGCCCGCCTCCTCCTCCCCCGGCTCCCACCCGCCTCTCGCCGCCGCCCCTCCGGTCCCACCTTCCCTCCCCGCTGGCTCCCCGCCGCGCGTGGGCCGGGGCGGCGCTGGCGATCCCGAGGATGCGGGGAGCAGCGCGGGGCCGCGCCGGGCGCGTCTGCGCTCCCACCTCCGCGCGCGCGGGGAGCCGCTCCCGCCCGCCGCTCGCCGCCGGGGGCATCCGCCCCGCGCCCACCGCCGGCCCCCGCCGCCCCGGGCCTTTGCCAGCCGAGGGCCCGGCGCGTGGGAAAGAAAGGAGACCCGAAGCAACTTTAGGCGTCCACAAGAACCCCCCCCCACCCCGGGGTCTCCGTCCTCTCTTTCAGCCCGAGCTCCGCCGCAAGGCCGAGCTCTCTCTGCGGAGCCCCGGGAGCTGGGCACGATCTCAGAACACGTGCACGGAAAGTTCTGGACTGCGGCATGCAAACTTTCACGTTTAAGAATGGAAGGTTTGCGGTGTACGCGTGTGTGTGCGTGTGCGTGTGCGTGTGTCTGTGCCTGCGTGCGCGTGTAAGAGGTCCATTCACAGGTGAGGGCGTTTGAGGACACCTCCGTCTCCCGCCTATTTAGGTTATTTTCGCTTAATAACGTGCCCTGGCAGCCGGTTTGCAAGAGCTGCAACCTGAATCAAAAACTTTGAAAGCCTAATAAGGCCAATCTATATCTTCCTGCTGCAAAACTGAGGAAAGACTTATCAGACATAACGCAATGCATACTCCAAACCTCCATTTATGATTAAAAACAAATATTTGACTTTCCAAGGATCGGGCACATTTTTTTAAGTTAATTGCTACCCCAGATGAACAGCACCTTGGACAAGGTGTCTCTTCCAGACAGAGGATTTCGGTGAAGTGAATAATATCTGGTTTAATCAAGAGAATTGTTGGGGCTAAAGACCTCTATTTGAATTGCTAAAGACAGTTTAGTCAAAACTGTTATCTTCTAAAGTGATGACCTTTGAAGTTTTTATGTAGCAGCCCAAACCATAGAAGCTATTTGAATAGCAGAAGTTCCTATATTAAAGTAAAAGTAAACTAGCTCACTAATTAATATTGATTTATAATCTTTAGTTTAGATTTTAAAGATAAAGGCATGCAGGTCAGGTAGATGGTAAAGAAGGTCAAGTACTTGCCTTGCATGTGTGAGTCCCTGAGTTTGATTCCCACATCACCAAAACCCAACAATGATAAGTACTAATTCTTCAAAAATATATTCATTTGGATTTTATCACATCTGGTTATGTCATGCACATGAGAGTGTTTCTAACACCATCGTGATCCATCATTAAAAAATAATTGGTCCATGTCCTAGTCCCCCCACGCCTCCGTCCTCATACCTGAAACTTGACAATGTTTCTTGCAATTCAATATGGAGATTTTAATATATTTATATATTTTAAAATCTCATTCTTTCTCACTAAAGTCTGGGAGTTCTTATCAAAAGATAGAAAAGTACAGAGATTGTGTCTGAGATGAAAATGCTGCACAGATGAAGCAAGTAATCCCCAATTAAAATGATTTTCCAATAAAATATTCCTTTAAAATTAGCTGCAAAATGTTTGACAAAAGGGGATTCTCCAGTGGCTGTCCATTAAATATGCTTGTATATTTTAGCATAGTATTGCTTTTAGATTTATGGTAGCATATAATTTTTCTACCCCCATTTTCCTTCTGAAGCATATATTTTATTACTGATATATTCATAGAATCTCCTCAGATCTATGTTTAACTGGCAACTTTCCACAATGCCACTCCCAAAAACACAAAATGATAGTTATACTTGTCTTGACAGAACAGTCTTTTACAAGGTATCATCCAATGGATCTGAGAACAGAGTTAGATTTACCAACTACAAGTTTTAAATGCTTTCAGTATAAAGAGAATGAGCTTGTCTCCAGTTCTTTTGTGTTGATCTGGTTTGGATCAGCTGTCTCCTCCTAGGACCAGCAACATCCGTTAAGCCTCTGCACTTTTTACCAAAACTTTTCAGGAGTTTCAGATGGATTAATCCTGAGAACAAAAGTATACCGAATATGAGGCTGTACACCTCTCTTTCTCTGTATCTGTGGAAGTTTGGGTTTTCAAAGAGCCCAAATCTACACTTTAATTATCACCTAGGCTGTCAGTTAACACTTTATTGAGGATAAGTTGAAAGTCTGTTGAGAGAATAACACAGCAGGGCCTAACTCTGGAATAGTATTCAGTGGGAGATAAGGTAGACCAGGGCTTATTATAAACCTTATAGTGCAAGGTGGTGAGTGTAAGGTGTGTGTGTGGGTGTGGGTGTGGGGGGGCAGGGGTGGGGGAAATGTAATTTATTGCTTCTTGTTTTAGTTGAGAAAACTTGGGGGCAGAGAGAGAGCCACTGGAATAAAACACACACACACACACACACACACACACATACACACACACCAGAAATTAGAGCGGCATCTTTGGATGAGGAGAGGAAGATACTCTTGTGCCAGTAAAATACATGGCAGTGCTGAAAGCTGCTTTTGCATTTCTGATCATTTGTTACAGAATTGGAATTCTAATCAGGACACAGGTACCAAGTACCCTTCCTCTATCTTACATGTGAAATGATCATTTATAGACATTATGAAAAATCAATATACAAACCACTCCCAGCTTGAACTTTAACTCCACATTTTTTCTTTCTTTGCATTTAAGATTTCTAGTACTACAGCGGTAGGGCGTTTGCCTTGCACGCAGCCAACATGGCTGACCTGAGTTCGATTCCTCCGCCCCTCTCGGAGAGCCCGGCAAGCTACCGAGAGGATCTCGCCCGCACGGCAGAGCCTGGCAAGCTCCCTGTGACATATTCGATATGCCAGACACAGTAACAACAAAGTCTCCAATGGAGACGTTACTGGGCCCGCTCGAGCAAATCAATCGATATGCATTTATTATTCGATACATGCGTGGTAGCTGGTTACAAACTTTACAAAAATACTGAATCCATATATTTTCTAAGTTTCCCTGCCCTGCAATTTTGGGGCACCATTCTAGGAAAATACTAAGCATATAATGACAAGTGATCTATTTCTGCCACTTTTGAAATTGGGGTCTATGAAAACTTAAAAGAACTCCATTTCTTTAAATACATCCCATACAAACACACACAGAGTTTCTTTTTAGAGATTCTCTGCCTCTTGAAAATATGCTACTCTGTTGTTATTTCTATGGTGAGGAAACATAAGAAAGGTCCAACTCGCTGTACATCCTCTAAGTGCCAGGCACAACTATGGGCACTTTTTATATTCCAGAATCTTTCTTCTTCACAGTTTGCCCTGGATTCCAACATTCATAAACATAAAGGTAAACATAAAAGAAGGATTTTCAGAAGTTCACAAGGAGGATTATACCACACCACTTCAAGGCTTTCTCCTTTATTTGGAAACTTTTCTGTTGGATCATCCCTTGGGTACTTTCATTCTGCTTCCCTATATGGTTTTACTGCCATGCCTTGTTTATGTATTGATCTCTGTTTCTCTAAGAGGCAGGACTCCTTTCTGAGTAAAGCCAGGAACAGAAGATGCTCAAATTAGGCAGCTTATGAAGCCAGACAGAAGTCACTCTGCATCCAAGCTAAGATCCCTGTAGTAAGTTCATATCTCAACTTGGACCCAGACCAGTAGCAGCAGGCCAGGAACCCAGCAAACTGTCCACCTGACTGAGAAGGAAGTTGACTTCAGCTGCCTCTCTTTTTTTGTGCAGAAGTGTTTTTGCCAATTATAGGTTCTTTGCCTTTCTAGAATGAGCAACTGGTAGAGATCAGGAATGAAAAAGGCCATAAGGTTTTTTCATGTGTCTGAAATCAGGGCAGAGCAAGGGTGCTTGCCTTGTATACTCGGCCCACCTGAGTTTGGTCTCAGCACCTCATATGGTCTCAGAGCCTGCCAGGAGTGATCCCTGAGCACTACTGGGTGGCCCAATAACTCCCCCCACCCACCCAAATAAGTAAAAACAGTGTTTGTCTGAAATAAAAGCTCAGGACAGAGCAATAGTACTTTTGATAGGGCTTTTGTCTTGCACATGGCTGACCCAGAGTTTGATCTCTGGCATCCTGTATGGTACCCTGGGTACCACAGGAGTAATTCCTGAGCACAAAGCCAGGAGTAACCTCTGAGCATCACTGGATGTGTCCCCTCCCCCAAATCCCAACTGCACAAGAACAAAAATAACCAAAATCTGTGATTTAGTGACAGACAAAATATCCTAGCAGTGCAATTTAACCATGTTTAATACATTTCTGAATACTGTATATACAAGTTGAGGAAAAAAATCTGATTCATAAAAATCAAGATCCAGAGAACCTTATGCCAATTCCGTATAAGGAGCTTCACTTGGCTAATAAAAGAAAATATATAAAGTTAAACCTTGAGTATTAAAATTCAAAGCCCGCAGACACCATTATAAAAGAAGATGCATCCTATTTTCTCATTTTAAAATTTTATTTACTGAACTATATAAACATTATTAATAATGTTGTATTTAACAGATATTAATAGTAATTAATATTTTCATTAGAGATATCAAAAATAAAGATTTTTTAATAACTAAGTGGAATTGCTAGAATAGTACAACAGACTTTTTGTTATTACTGTTTGTTTTTAGAGACCAAAGGCATTTACAAGATATCAGATACTTTATTGGATAAACAGTCTCACTTTTAACTTAATGCAATCTAAAAGAGTCAGTAGATAAATTTTAAAAGCTTTAATAAATGTCAGAAGCAAGTTAATCAGTTCAATTACTGTAATTCCTAAAATGGCATTTTTAAACATTTGAAACAAAGTTTGAATCTGATTACAATATTTGATTACTAAGTAGATGATACTGCTAAAACCCTTTAAGGCAATTACAA